GGTTCACCACACCGCACCACAGCGACCTCTCGGTGCCTCCTGGCGGTGCCTCCTGTGGTGCCTCCTGTGGTGCCACAGCGAGGCCCCCTCCTCGCCTCCCGGCCGGCGTCCTGGGCCTCTCGGGCATTCCAGATCGAGAGGAGGATTGCACTATTCCAAGGCGCACTTTGGCGATGATGATAAGATACGGCGCTGAGTCTCCCGCAGATTTTTTCCCTCCCGCATCACAGGGTGGCATGTGCACGTGTGCGTGACGTCACGATGAGGGTACCCAAGGTTCCCCCCTATTGGTCGCCGACGCCGCTGTCGTCACGAGTCTCCCGGAATGCACGTCGTGATTGGCTTTCGCCTTAGCAGTCCGTCCAATCGTAACTGGAATATAAAGATGAGAGCCTAAGAAACCCGTGTTCTGATTGGCGTATTGGGCGTGGCATACCTCGAGGACTCTGGGTAGTGTCGTCTCCTCCCATTGGCTGCTGAGCGCGGGCCAAGATGGCAGCAGCGCCACTTCTAGTGAGGCGATTGGTCGAGGCGGCGGTGGGCGGGGCCGACTAGCCCTAACGAGCATAATTGCCGTATATAAAGAAAAGTTGGTGGTTAGATTTGATCAAGTCGATGTGAGCGCTTTGCCTTCCTGGCTAAATTAGTGGAAGCCGGAGACCAATTGAGACTAGTTAGAGTCGCAGGCCGGACGGAATTGGGGCGACCCGCGGAAAGTTGCGACTGCTGATTACCCGCCCATTGTTCTCGTTAGAGGATATTTCTAGGATCGCGAGGCGTGGGGAGCCCCCAATTGTGACCATTGGCGGGCGGCCGTCTTGTGTGCGAGTGCCAGCGCCCCTGGAAGCCCCGGCCGTGACGCCGCTCCCTTGATTACCACTTATTACCACTGCCTACGGAGCCACAGGTCCCGGCCTCAGCGCGGATCCCTCTTGGGGCGGCGAACGAGTACTACCTCTTCCTCTCCGAGGTCCTGCGGCCCACCACGGGCTCTGGAAGAGTCCTCGAGTCCCAGCGCGAAGAGGAGGCGGTGTTGGTCTCTCCAGAGGCGCGATTGCATCTTCGTCCCGTGACCCTCATCGAGGCCGTCGCCGACCCGGGTGATTAGCCTTAACAACGAGCCATCAGCGACGCGCCGGGAACTGCCGTCAATTGGAACTACCGCCCGGGGCTTAACGAGACCCCTCGCCCCCCCCTGATGGACCCACGCGGGGGGAAGAAGGAGATTAACACGCCAGGTTAAGAGACGGACGCCAATTAGGGAGTGTGTCATCGCCGCGGTGACGAAGCGTGATTGCGCGCGAGGGAAGCCCTGCCTGCCGCCGTCCCCGCCCGCGACTGCGCCCCCGAGGGTAGGCTTAAGCGATCTCGTGATTGTGACAAATAAGGTGCGTGTTGCAGCCCGCCAATTGCGCTAACGAAGACTCGGCCTTCAGGACGCCCGAGACGCCTCAAGACACCACGTGAGCCCGTGACGTCACCGCTCGTTGGAGGAGCAAGAAGAAGGAAGAAAGGAAGGAGATAAGAGAACTTGAAAGAAGGGCCAAGGAAAGAAAAGGCAAAGTGTGATCGACTCCAAGTAATTCCTGTGTATTCCTGTAGTTCGATAGGCAAGTGCGAGAGACAGATCCATAGTTAGAAAGACAGAGAACATTTTTTTTTAAAGAAAATTCAAATAGCAAGCGAAAGACAAGCAATCAGTGTCCACAGGCCAGGAGCGCCGAGCGCCGAAAGAATTCCGAAGGAACAGCCCGTAGAGCGCCTCGCCGCGCCAGCTTGGATGCCGGAGGGCGGGAAGGAGGCATGAACGGGCAGTCCCCCACCTCCAGCAGCGCCACCAGTCCGGCCTCCGTCACAGCTCCCGTCGGCGTCGTTGGCAAGTCCCTCGGGGGCCCCTCTGCAGCAGGCGGGAACCTTGGAGGCGTCGTCGGAGGCGCAGGAGCCGGAGGCGGCAGCGGAGGAGGCGGCGGAGGCGTGGCCACGAGCGGGGGCGGGGGCGTAGCGCCGCCGACAAGCCTTTCGGGCGGAGCCGCGGGCGGCGGCGGCGGAGGAACCTTCCACAGCATCCAGGTCATGTTAGGTCTTCCAGGCGACCTCATGCTGTCGTCGTCCCTCCCGCCCTCGCACAGGGACTACCACGACCCCCCCTTGCCCCCCACGCCCACGCCGGCCACCCACACCATGACGCCCATCCCGCACACCACCACCCACTCCACTGCCCCCACGCCGCCCCAGCCGGCCCACTACAACCCACAGCAGCAGCAGCAACAGCCGCCCACACTGCCCGCTCTCACAAACCTCAACGCCCAGACGAGCCACGCCCACGTCCAGAACAACCACACCCACGTCCAAACTTCACACGCCCACGTGGCAGCTGGCGCGCATAACCACGCCCACAATCATGCCCACGGGCAGGCAGGGACGAGCACGTCTCTGGAGTCGTCGATGGGCGGCCCGGTGGTGGGCGAGAAGAGGAAGCTGGAGGACAACGGGCCCGCGG